AAAATCAGATACCATCTTTTTAGTTCCTAAGGCTCTCACAAGATGATTTTGAATAAACATAACCCATTCAAACTGGTTTTTCCCTTTCCTGTATTATATGAAGGGGAAAATCCTCATGGGTTAGATAGTTTCCAGAATTTGCCCATTTCCAAGCCAGTACAGTAAATAACATTGGGGCCGCTGAGTGGACCACTGTAGAAAGCAATGGTTCTTGTTTCTTATTTTTTACATTATTTTCAGGGATGTGTGTCCCATCAAAATCTCATTATGGAGGAGTTGAATTTTCCTGGGACACCTATGGCAGGGCTGCCAGACACCAGCCTAAACTGCTCTCACTCTCATTTCCAGACCAGGGGCCTCCTGTGGCCTGCAGGGAGCCACGGGCAATCACAGCAACCCTCTCTGAGGCCAAGGAAGTTAAGGTATGAGCTGTACCTGAGGCTGCCCTGGCCTCTCCTCTCCCTTCAGTCCTTACTGGGTGTCTTCTCACTCTGCCTTCTGCCAGCTCCACTGCTTTCCCTGCTGGGTTTCATTGCTTGTGCAAGGAAGATATGGAAGGAGCCCAGCCACACAAAGGGTTGGTTCTTTCTAACCCTTCCCAGACTGACTATAGGCCAGAGGGGTCTGTATCTACACATCTTTTATTACTCTAAATTGAACAGTTTAATGATTAGTCATTTTAATTTAGAGTTGAGACTCCATAAGTATTTGTGGCCTTTTTGAGAACTGTGTCCAACTTTGAAATGCGAAAGCAGGACCCTTTGTTCTTTGATCCTGCTACGAGTTAAGAAATTCTGTATTTCTTCAGAAGTATTTCATTTTGTGTAATGAAGTCAAGGGTCACAGTGACTCAGTGTTCCATGAGTTAAGTGTCTTTGTAGAATGAAGAGTAAACTTATCTCCTAATAAGACTGGGTTAATTAAAATTACACTGCCTGTCTCTGGGGATCATCAGAAAAAGATATCGTTTCTTAATTTATTCCTAAGGTTTAAAAAAAAAAAATTAGGCCGGGTGCAGTGACTCACGCCTATAATCCCAGCACTTTGGGAGGCCGAGGTGGGTGGATCACGAGGTCAGGAGATCAAGATCATCCTGGCTAACACGGGGAAACCCCATCTGTACTAAAAATACAAAAAACTAGCTGGGCATGGTGGCGGGTGCCTGTAGTCCCAGCTACTGTGGAGGCTGGGGCGGGAGAATGGCATGAACCCAGGAGGGGGAGGTTGCAGTGAGCTGAGATCACACTACTGCACTCCAGCCTGGGCGACAGAGGGAGACTCTGTCTCAAAAAAAAAAAAAAAAAAAAAAATAACTACTATGTTCCTGCCAGGTTTGGCAAGGGTGTCACAGCCCAAGCATCCAAGCATGTCCCTAGGAAATCAATATCTTTGGCTCTTTAGATGTTCCTGGAACTGTATGTGGCTATCCAGGGGCAGATGTGGTGGGAAGCCTATGGTCCTGGGGCCTAAAAAGCCACACAGGGCTGGGTGGGGTGCCTCATGCCTGTAATCTCAGCACTTTGGGAGGCTGAGGCAGGTGAATCACGAGGTCAGGAGTTCGAGACCAGCCTAGCCAACATGGTGAAACCCCATCTCTACTAAAAATACAAAAAATTAGCTGGGCATGGTGGCAGGTGCTGTAATCCCAGGTACTTGGGAGACTGGGACAGGAAAATCGCTTGAACCCGGGAGGCAGAAGTTGCAGTAAGCCGGGATCACACCACTGCATTACAGCCTAGGCGATAGTGCGAGACTGTCTCAAAAAAACAAAACAAACAAAAAGCCACCAGGGGCTTCTCCCTCTGATACAACTCCAGCTACAGCCCAAGGATGGAAATGAAGCTGATTGCAGTACCTAATTTTCTTGACATTCACAAGTTATCTATCTATCTATCTATCTATCTATCTATCTATCTATCTATCTATCTATGTATTATTTGAGATGGTGTTTCGCTCTTGTGGCCCAGACTGGAGTGCAATGGTGCAACCTCAGCTCACTGCAATCTCCGCCTCCCGGGTTCAAGCGACTCTCCTGCCTCAGCCACCAGAGTAGCTGGGATTACAGCGCCCGCCACCACACCAGCTAATTTTTGTACTTTTAATAGAGATGGGGCTTCACCATGTTGGCCAGGCTGGTCTTGAACTCCTGACCTCAGGTAATCTGCTCACCTCGATTTCCAAAATGCTGGGATTATAGGCATGAGCCATCGTGCTCAGCCAATTTTTCCTTTTCATGTTTTGCCTCAGAAGCTCCAAAGGGCTCCTGTCAAGGTGCTTTCTCTCCCAGATCAGTTCCCAGCAACTCCTCTCACCCAAAGTGCCCAGAAAACAGCCTGTCTGCTCTCAAAAAAGATAGTTGCAGCCTGGCACGATGGTTCATACCTGTAATCCCAGCATTTAGGAGGCAGAAGAGGGAGAATCTCTTTAGTCCAAGAGTTTGGGACCAGCCTCAGCAACACAGTGAGACTCTGCCTCTTTTTTCTTTTTTTTTTTTTTTTTGAGACAGAGTTTCACGCTTGTTGCCCAGGCTGGAGTGCAATGGTGCAATCTCGGCTCACTACCACCTCTGCCTCCCAGGTTCAAATGATTCTCTTGCCTCAGCCTCCTGAGTAGCTGGGATTACAGGCGCCTGTCACCACACCCAGCTAATTGTGGTATTTTTAGTAGAGATGGGGTTTTATCACGTTGGCCAGGCTGGTCTCGAACTCCTGATCTCATGATCTGCCCGCCTTGGCCTCCCAAAGTGCTGGGACTACAGGCGTGAGCCACCATGCCAGGCCTGACTCTGCCTCTATTTTAAAAAATGATAGTTGCTTCCTAGAAGTTAGTTTTGACATTTTTTTTTTTTTTTTTTTGAGACAGAGTCTCACTTT